TTTATTTTTCCCCTGCATTTGTGCAGTCTCCACAGCACGAGCTTCAGGGTCATATCACATACTAAAGAGCATATAGAAGTTTCATTCATGACAGAATGGAACGAGGACCTTGGCGAAAGTGGTTATCCCCTCAATATAGATAAAAGGTTTTTCTAGTGTACATATTTAGATACTTTTTTTTTATGTGTGTAACAACGTGTTTGAGTTATACTAAATTCATTCTTTAGGTTCATTATGATTCCAGGAGCTTCCGGGTTCTACACATACGCAATATTCGAACACAAAAAAGGTTGGCCTGATTTGAACATTGATGAAGCAAGAATCGCATTTAAGCTTAACAAGAACTTGTAAGGATTCAGTTCTGAGCAAATATTTCAAGCATTTTGATGGGATGGGTGATGAATTATGCAAATTTAAGTTTTTGCAAGACTTTTTTTTTTCAGTTTTAATCATCATGAAATTGCATGATTAGGTTTCGTTACATGGCCATATCCGATAACAAGCAGAGGATCATGCCAACAGACGATGATAGAGATAAAGGTCGTACGCTTGATTATAAAGAAGCAGTTATATTAAGAAATCCCAGCAATCCCAAACTCAAAGGAGAGGTAGGGGCTAGTTCAATATATATATATATATATATATATATATATATATATATATATATATATATAGCTATATGCACCAGAATTTGGGATTGTGATACAGTAAAGTAACTATCCAGGTGGACGACAAATATCAATACTCGTGTGAGAATAAGGACAGCCATGTGCACGGTTGGATTAGTTTGCACCCTCGCATAGGATTCTGGGTGATAACACCAAGTGATGAGTTTCGAGCAGGTGGTCCTGTAAAACCAGATCTTACTTCTCATGCTGGCCCAACTTCCCTAGCAGTAAGTGCCTCTTAATCCTTCTAACTCAAGTTCAACATCCAAATATAGACAAAGATGACTAGAGAAACTTATTATTGAGTTAGCATTGATATGGAAAATAATTTGACACTTCTAATTTGTGTAGTCTTTTCAAATTATGCACGAGAAACAGATATTCTTTAGTGGTCATTATGCGAGTCCAACTTTTGGAGTTGGAATCCGCAATGGGAAGCACTGGAAGAAGGTCTTCGGCCCCGTTTTCATATACCTAAACTCTGATTCGGGTGACAAACCAAGTTCACTTTGGGAAGATGCCAAAAATCAGGTAATTTTTTTTTGTTTTGTAAATGCAAAATTGTTGTTTTTGTTTTAACCTACCATAAATAAAACTAAGTTCTTGATTTTCTTGCCTTAATTTCCGCATACTAACTAACACATTACGCCCACATTTTTTCACGAAATCAGATGTCTGCAGAAACCGAGAAATGGCCCTACGACTTCCCATTATCGAACAACTTCCCTCGTTCAAATCAACGCGGTACACTTCATGGCCGTTTATTAGTCAATGACAGGTACATTAACAAAGACCCTTTGCCGGCAAAATCTGCTTATATGGGGTTAGCTCGACCTGGACACGTTGGGTCCTGGCAAGATGATGCGGAGGTTATTATTATTAAATCCGATCACTTGCAAATACCGATATCCATTTATTCAACTAGTCCTAAGCCTGTCATTTTTTTTTTTTTCCACTTGTGCAGGGCTATCAATTTTGGACACGAACTGATGAAGATGGTTACTTCATGATAAGAAACATTAGACCTGGCATTTACGATTTGTACGCTTTTGTTCCAGGGTTTATTGGAGACTTTAGACATGATAAAAGTATTGTCATTCGATCAGGTCTGTTTGATTACTTATTTTACACTAACATAACGTAAGTTGTTTATTGGTTACTGTTCGAACAAATAATTTTTACTTGATCAATTGGTTTGGCATATCCAACCGAGCAGGGGATGAAATTCAAATAGGTGAGCTTGTGTATCATCCTCCAAGAAACGGCCCCACTCTATGGGAAATCGGGATACCTGATCGAATGGCATCCGAATTCTACATTCCTGATCCAAATCCTGATTTTAGGAATAAGTATATTAACCATCCAGAAAAGTAAGGAGCACTTTATAGAATGTGAACATAGTTTCTTTTGTACTAATAATACCAATCATAATAGTAAATTATCATTGTTATTGCTGATCCAGGTTCAGACAATATGGTCTATGGGACAGATACACAGATTTATATCCTACAGATGATCTGACATACCTTGTAGGAGTCAGTGATTACCGAAAAGACTGGTTTTATGCTCATGTTAACAGGTACTACTAATCTAGTCCACTTTGTATAATTTTATAACCTGGCTAGTGGCTATTTACAGATTGTCCTAATCAAAATTTCAACCGATACTTGCATAGGAAGACAGGCAAAAACGAGTATAAACCCACGACATGGAAAATTGTGTTTGATTTGAAAAATGTCGCAAGGACGGAATCTTACACGCTCAGGCTTGCTCTGGCATCTGCCACCTTGGCCGAAATACAAGTGTGGAAGATAGATTTAATAATATTAATCTTTTGAGCTAAGTTAAAATCTTTATATATTTCTTATTTCCTTGTATTGGTAATTACCAGGTGTGGATTAACGGCACCTACAAAACACATCCACATTTTACAACAGGGCAGATAGGGAAGGACAATGCAATAGCCAGACACGGTAATCACGGGTTGTACTGGCTTTATAGTGTCGATGTATTGGGATTACAGCTTGTGAACGGAAGTAACGTAATCTATCTTAAGCAATCAAGAGGAAGAAGTCCTTTTATAGGCGTCATGTATGATTATATTCGTCTGGAGGGCCCGTCTCAAGGACTTGTGCCGAGTCCAAATAACGAACCATCACCGAACGAGTTATTATTATATGATAATTAGCATTGTCTCTTGGCTTGGTTGCTCTGTGGGGTTAAAGTTCAGGCTGATGTCAAATTTTCCCTCCAAGCTTTTGGATGTGTAAGTAGTGCCTTATTAAGATTTTTGTATCATTTTTTTTTTTTTTTTTTTTT